TGGAAATTAAAAAGAACGCGAAACTCGAACAGGCATATAGTACATGAGCACCCTTACTTAGTATTTGCAGTATCTGCAGCTTCTCCCTTGTTAATTGGTTGTTTCATTGTTATCAGCGTTATAAAATAAACTACACCGAACACAATCATATCACACTCAATAATTAATATATCAAAATCACTGTTTATTAACGCATGTGTATTTGAAAAGTTTGCCAGATCTACAGATGCACCCGCACTAAGACTAAGTTGTTGGGAAAAGAAAGCGGATTGTCTGCTATGAGTTGCAAGACAAAGTGGGGCCTTTTGTAATCAGGGCCCGGTTGTGGGGGCCCCTAGTTTTCCCATTGTGTCTGTGATTCTATCAGTCTTTCTGTTATCATAGTCATATCTGTGCGTTCGTATAGTAATTGGTTTGAAGAATTGTCTGCAGTGCCCTAATTTTTATATTAATTTTAGCGTGATTGGTTCAGTGTGTTTGGTCTGTTTAGTGGCTCTTAATGTCAGAATGAAGTTTTAAAAAAGATTAGAGCTGTGTTTTTTTCAATATGCAATATGCTAAATGTATATAAATATTTAACTTGAAGTAGAATAACTTGAGAAACTGTATGACGAAGAATTTTCATAAAATCAGGGCATTCATTTTGACATAAAAGAAAAAGTAAAAAACCGGTTATAGTGAATAACAATCAACTTTCAAGCTGGTGAAAGCGGTAACATAATGTCATTCAAGTTTAGCTCTTTGAAGTCGGAAGGAAGTACCGTGCCTGGCTCAAACCCTGGATATTTTGGTGCCGACATCAATGGAACCAAGTTTATTATACCTTTAAACTATGGCGGTTTGGGCTATAGATTTTTCGATCAACTCAACAATGAGTCCGACAAAGTCTTGCAGGTCCGAATTTGTCGCAGCTCAGTCCATCAATTTTAAAACAAATATTAATTCCAGGTGGATACAATTAACAATATCACAGAAACTAAAAGGGCTGTGAAGACAAGAAGCGTGAGGTTGGCAATCGAGATGCAGGCCAGAGGAGTGGGCAAAAACGATATTATTTTAATTAACAGCAAAACTCACGCCCATCAGACTATAGTTTTGGTTGCCACTTTATTTTTGGGTGCAATAGTGTGTCCTATAAATCCAGACTCACCTTTTAAGGTAAGTAGTTTAGACAGCCAGAGTATTGAACCGGTTTCGTCAAAAAGAGCAGCTTGTGCTCTGCGATTTGAACCTATAAGATAGACTCTGCTGCATACGAATCAAAGCACATTTGTATAACATATCCTTATTATCAGTATATGCTCCTACAGAAGACAAGGACGAAGTCACTTAGGACTCGTTCTATGACTTGCTTTTAACGCAATAATAGAGAATAATCAGCTTTACTGCTGACATAGCCTTCACAATATATTAAACGACTAATAGAATTAGCATCAGCTAATAACATGCTGATAAAATCTACAATGTTCCCTCATAAGTACACCCATAAACAAACCTGACCAGATTGACCATGTCGTGATGGACGATAGGTCCCAGAGACAAGCAGACAACCCTTAGAGTAGACGGAGTTACAGATCATTTTCTGGTAAAAGCCAAACTACAAATCAGAATATCTACTAAGAAAAACAAAAAAAACTAAGCAAACCACAAAATGGAACATAGAGAAACTACAGAATCCAGCATAACAACAAAAATACGAACAAGAACTGGAACAGAAGCTCATTGGAAATGAAAATTGCACTTTGGATGTTGAAGGTTTGTGGAACCATATTGAACAAACGATAAAAAAGTCAGCAGAAAAAACCATCGGGACAACCAAGAAGTAAACGATTAAATCATATTTAGGAATGTTTTCCGGGCTTTGAAGCCGTGGTCTATCGGAATTTCTTCCTGACGTTTCGTCCACAACTGCGGTGGACATTTTCAAAGGCGATGAGGCAGTGGGCGAAGTGATCTCCCGTGCTTTCCGACTAAGAATGATGATCATCATCAGTACACTTACATTACACAGAACACTTTAATTGGGATTAAAATTGTTAATAATGGATTGAGAACAAAATGAAAAGGCAAAAGCCACAGAGCGGGAACAAGTAACGAATATCAAATAATAAGTGCAGTTTTTTAGATAAAAGTTTGTGTTTTATCTCACAGTCACATATCATTGCGACAACGGCAAAAATGCTGAAAATGTTAAATTAGATTTTTAGTCCGTAGTTATAAGTTGTATTTCAATTTATTTATTATCCATTTAATTAGTTTTAGATTAGTTGCAAGTAACTCTTGTTGTTGAAAAATTACATTAGTAAATACTTAAATATGTGAATAAACTAATAAGATGAAATAAATGTTTTTCTTTCGTTACATATATGTATGTATATTCCCTGAACATACCATATACATTCACTGAACATACCATGTACATTCCCAGAAAATACACATGTGTATTCACTGAACATACACATGTATATTCACTGGACATACCAGGTACATTGTCAGAACATACGCATGTACATTCCCAGAACATACCATGAACATTCAGTGTATTAACTCTGACAGATTCCTGGGACATACATGGAATGTTCATAATGGAACCCATGTATGTCCCAGATGTCCCCAATCACTGACACCCAAATAGCACACAGCACTAATACTTAATATGAAAACTCCCAAATTTTTATAATTTCTGCCTACAATCCCCCCAACATACACAGAACCGCACTAAGATGGCAACCTTTTCCACAAAAACATCTCTGCACTCCTCGCAGAAGACTTAAACTCCAAAAACACCATTTGGAATTGCAATTCTCACAACGATGAGGCCGAAAACTTACAAATACTCACAAAACCTCAATTTCCAAATTCAAGCTCCGTCATAATAGACATAGCCCTGACAAATAACATTTCCCACTCCGTTAACATACTGAACTCTGACTCACTTAGCTCCGATCACAACCCCATAATCATTGACATCACCGAAGAATAGACAAACAACCCCCTAGCCCCAATTGCACTCACCGACTGGAACGCCCTCGCATACTACCTTGGCAAGATTAAAACTCAGGCGACTCTCCCAAAAACGTTAACGAGCTTAACTTCCTTTCAGAGAAAATCTCAAATTTTATCTCTACAGCTCTTGCGAAAGCCGAAAGCCAAAAACTAAACTCAAATGAAAACCCTTTCGGCCTTCCGCCAGAACTTAAACAACTTATTGAAAAGAGAAACAAACTAAAACGCAGGGTGCAAGCAATTCTCTGATGCTTAACTCAACCAAGAAGTTAACCGCCTCACTAAACAAACACAAATTCAAACAAAAAACATTAAGAGCGAAAAGTGGTCCGAGCTATTATCCTATCCTATATCTGAGGAAAACATACCAACAGGCGACACCGTCGCCTGGAAAATCACCAAGAGTTTGAGAGGAAAAACAAAAACACACTTCCCCCCAATATGGAGAGTAATAATAAGGATGAGGAGAAAACTGAAGTCTTCTCCGACTCCCTAGAACACTAGTTTTCTCCCAACATGTCCCAGACAAACAACCCTGATTTCGAAGAAAAACAACCACAGACAAATTTCCCCAAATTCCACCCGTAACACTGACCGAACTGAAGCAAATCTCCTCCGTAAAACACGCAAAGCTCCCGGACCAGACCAAATTACTAACAAAATCCTAAAATTTCTTCCAGAAAATCTCCTAAGCCAAGTGGTTCTGTGGGACCGCCGCCTTAACGTATGCGTTTCCGACCTAGTTATCCAACAAACGTTAAAAATGCATAAAGTGAGATGCCTTTATACGAATGTTTATTAGTTAGACTTGCTTGTTTATGATTTGCGTTCACTTTCAATTTCGTTCATTATTGTTCTTGACTGTTCTCAAACATTTTCAATGGAGCATGTACAGAAGAGGAAGAAAAACAACCCGCAAACAATTTGAAAATTTAGTAGAGTTTGTGGAGGAAAATAAAGTTTATTTTCAAGACCATTTACCAATTGCTCTAATAAAGCTAACCTTATAAGACCACCAAAAGACATATTTTTGTTTCATATTAAAAACAAGTTATAGCTAAAACAGAAAACTGCGCTGATTAAGCACAGAAGCTGTCATAGCGTGTGGCCGTTAAAAACAGCGTTTATGATACAGCACAGGGCTGATTGTCGGTTAAAGACCGTGATCACTCAACACTGCTTAAAAATCGGTAGTTCCCAATAAATCTCAGTTAATTCTTTTTTTAGGAATGTTTGGAGCTTGTAAAGAAAGCCAAACCGAAAATGTGCTTTTGCGATTCAAGAACAGTGAGTCAAATCGACAGGATCTTACTGTCGCTGAATATAACTTCGGAAGTGGTCAGCTTTGGAGATGAAGTTTCCGCTACCATCAAGTTCGTCAAGCTGTTTCCATTTAAAGAAGACACTAACTTCAAGCCATTCTTTGTTGAAAATCCGAGCAAAGAAGTGGCTTTTATAGTGCCAACACAAGGTGGCCTGTACTGACCAATTCGGAACCAAAATTTTGTAAATCGGTTTTTAGGCACATGCGACGAACCTAAATTGGTTTGCTTATCCCATCACAACATCTACTTGCAATGCTTGAACTTCATGGAAATGCTGGAGAATCCATCCAAGGTGATTTCGTTCTTCCCATTATCCTGGATAACGCAAACCATTATCGCCTGTTCCTCCCTTGAATTTGGAGTGACGCGAATAATGGCTCCAAGTTTCAACGAAAGAACTGCTTGCAAGATGATTCATGACTTTGTCATCGATGTAGCCGTTTTAGGCTCTGTTTTGGCTTTGAGACTTACGGGCAACGTAGCAGTGAAAGTAAGGCTTACTATTATAATTCATCGATTAATGTTCTTAGAAGCCGATGAAACACAATGTATGTTTAAGGACTTCAACCTCAGTTGCTTGAAATGCGCAGTAGTAGGGGTGGTAAACACCTCTAAAAACGATCTGATGCAAATGAGGAGAGTTCTACCCAACGTGAAGTTTATCCAAGTTTATTCGCTAACGGAAACTGGACTGGTTGCCGCAGTACCTGCAGCAAACTACAGGTTTAACAAATATTGATAACTTGGGTTTACACTGATGTTTTAATTCCAGTGAGGCTCTGGAAAGACCAACTGCTGTCGGAAAATTGCTCAGAAATTGTAAAGTGAAAATCCTGGATCCCGAGACTAAACAATCGGTCGGCCCAGGCCAAATTGGCGAGCTGTATTTTCATGGAGACGGGCTAATGCTTGGGTCTGGATTGAAGAACATCTTCTGGTAAATCTCTGGAATTTTACATTTCCAGTTATTTCAAGGACAACTCCCGAACAATAGCAGCCATAGAAAAGGGGTATTTTAAAACAGGAGACTTAACAAAACACGACGGGGAAGGTTGGCTGTATTTGGAGGGACGAATAGACGATAGAATCATTTTTGAAGATGACATGTAAGAACGTCTCAGGAATCATCAAACTGCCAACATTAACTTTCTAAAAGCACCATTTATGCCCGGTTTCTCAACATTTGCCCTATTGGTTCCATAACTATGTAGTGGATAAAGTTATAAGACCGATAAGATTTTATAGGTTTCCGAACGGTGACAGACAAAGTTATATCGAGCTCATAACAATCCGTTGGATAAGTACCTTTTTAATTCGGCCGACAGAGGGAACTGCTTGATAGGGTATGTTCCATTTTTGACTGGTAGTACGGGAGGTGCGAAATACCGGTAAAAAAGAAGCGGATAGTAAAGAACTTTCACTTTTGTGCATCGCAAGCTAGATGACGCCAC